TTTAAAATAAAAGCTGCCCCATGGGCAGAGTAATAGGCAGCAATCTTGAGCTGTATAAACTTATATAAGGGAATGCCAATTAAAAACCCTTGGCTCTATTACGGTAAGATAAATAGTCATGAATTAAATGAAATAAATGCAAAACCTGAGTACAGCCAGACAAGTGAAATTATTTTTACTTGAGCAAGAGAAATAGACATGCTGAACAAAAGTTGGCTTTAAAATGAAAACTTTTGTTAAACAAAAATAAGGCAACTCAGATGTTCTGGGACGTGGCATATATGGAACAGAATTCTCTTATCTTTGGGCTATAAAAGACTTGCAACGCTAAAAATCGGTTCAATTCTTTGGGGTTTTTTTAAGAGGAAGTATGCCCAGACATTACACTGTAGTGACTGAAAATGCAGGATGCCTGAAATTTACTTTCCAATCTCCCACCTACCTCTATAAAAACTTGGCCAGTCTCCATCTCCTTAGCCTAAATCTTAGTTCTGCATCAGTTTGATGGCTTTAATGATAGGACCAACCACCTAGGTTTTGGGTGTGAATTACATGAGCTACTGCATATAAAATGCCTACAGAGTGATGGCCCACAGTAGGTACTCAAGAAAGGCTAACTATTTATTCAGTGAGTCAGTGCAGTGTATAGAAGACCTCTTAGGATGGCTAAGACAAGATATCTTTGCATTGAAAATGATATTTACTATCATTTTGACAAACACACTCATACAGATAAGTAATCAGGAGACCAGAGAAGTTAAGCAATTTGACAAAGGTCACACAGCTATTTCTTGATAAACTTAAAATAGAACTTGGACTTCCTTAATGTCAGGCAACTTTCTTTCCCTTATCCTATATTTTTTCTCCTAGTATCTGATCGTTTGTTCACACAGATTTAATACATTCTGGGGCTAACAACTGGTTTTGTTGGCAAAGTTTTGGTGAATGTAGCCAAGTAAACATTGTTGCAGCAATGTCAAAGACTCCAGCAGTATGTATCTTTAACAGGTTTGACTTTTAAGCCCCTTTCCTATTTTTAGAAATTTACCCTTAGGAAATAATATAAAATAAAAGGTTATATGCAAAAAGATGTTTGCCACCATATTCTTTGGAATACTGAAAAAATAAAAATAATCTACATGTCCAACAATAGGAAAGTAGTTTAATATGGCAGAAGCATGGATTCTGGAACCATTTAAAAATTATGAAGACCACAAAGAAACAGAAAATATTTACTTTATTCATCTCATTGCATAAGGAGGTAATTTAACACAGAATGATAATGTATTTTTGTAATTAAAATCAATTAAATAATTATATAGACAAATCCAGAAAATAAAATAAGAAATAAACTGATTTTAGGAATACTGGAATTGGAAATGACTTTTCCTTTCACTGTGAGTTCTCTTCATGATAAAGAGATGGAATAAAGACTTGTTGAATGAACTTTCTTTATTGGGACTGGGAAAGATTTACATGATCCAAGTATCCTTTAGTGCATCATGATGACATATAGCCAAATGAAAGGCAGGTCAGAGTCTTCACCACACACTGAACTGAGGCCCACAGCAATGTATCCCCATCCCTGGCCTCTCGGAATTTACAAGCTGATAGAGAAGACATGACATAAACCTGGATCTCGACACTGCTCCACCTGCAAAATCTTTAACATCCCATCTCAAACCAGGGCTGTTCCCCTCCCAGCTTTCATGCCACCTGCTTATTAACATCATTAGAACTGCCCGTCTGCTGGTCCCTATGCTCTCTTTTGTTCCCACAGCTTTGTTTCATTTTTCTTTGCTATTCTTCTTAATTGCTAAGGCATCTCACTTTAGCTACCCTGTCCACAATAAACTGCAGTCTCTTAGACCTTTATTTCTAATTCATCTGAGCTGAAAGCCCCCGTGAGCTGGATGTGTTCACTTGTCTTGGCCCAGCCTGGGTTGCAGGACTTCCCTAGATGAAGCCACCCAACATCCCTTCCTATACCCCTGGCCAGTTTCCTCTCTTGCTCCTGGTGGTCCTGCCTAGTCTCAGGCTTCCCCTTCTCCCCCCAGCCCCCCCAGACGCACTTTACTGTACAGAAATTCTTACATGAGAAATTTCTTCCCTTGAGCCAAGCCCAAAGTCTAGCTGCATTCTGCATCCATCCTTACTCCCTGCCTTCCAGTTTCAGAGGTGACCTGACCCTGCGTGTGCCCTTGAACCCAGCACCTCCTGCCTATTCCCACTTTTGTACCATAAGCTTGTTGCCCCTCTGTTCAACTTTGCCTGAACTATGATCGCCTTCCTTCAAACCCTTCTCCCCTCCAATTCTTGCCATCATCTATGAAGAAGCCTTTCCCTTGAGATGGATACATACTCTTGTAAATGATGACCACTTGCCTTCCTCCTCCCTTCCCCCATACTTCTAAAAGGCGTTGTCCTACCTCGGCTGTCTCCAAGTCCTCTTTGCCTCATCTGAGATAACCTGACTCCTCCCACTCTACCACCCAAATTGTTCCCACAGAAACTAGATCCAAAGGTGCCATTTCATTTCATATCTCACTAGAAACCCTCAGCTGTGTTTCACCCTGTTAACCATTCCTTGTCTTGAAATATTCTCTTGACTTTTGGGACACTGCACTGTGACCTTAGTTATTGGATAGTTATGTGAATGAAAAAACAAATGTCGCCTGGGGAGGGGAGAGCTAGTAAGGCTCTCAGCTCAACAAGAGGGCTCACACTTCAGGGGGTGGTGGCAGGGCAGGTGTTAGATTTAAAATCCACTAGATTAAGTTTTGGGAACTGAATTCCTTCCTAGGGACTAGTTTTGTGGACTCTATGTCAAGCCAACTGATGACTCAATGATTAACAGTGGTGGATGGAACCCATTGAAATGATACAAAGAACTGTTTATTCTTTTATCTCATGGAAGGACAGGTGTAGTGGAGACTGGATCATACTACAGGAACTTGTGGACAATGCTGGGATTTCCTCTCTTGAAGATGATCAGGAGTGAGGGAAGTGGAAGTCAAGTCAGCTGGGTCTCCCTCAGCCTTCTCTAACAGCTAAAGCTTCCAAACTGCATTCATTCTATTCAATAAGGCAGAGTGAATTTTCCATTATTAAAAAATTACTTTTTAATTTTAGTATCATTCTTGTAAAGTACAATCTGGTACTTAAGCATAAGATGTCTCTTGTTTATTTTGATTCTTTCTTAATTTTAAGTAATATGTCTTCTATTAGACTGCAAAGGCCTTGATGTCAAGGGTCCTTTTTAGTCTAATTGTCTTTTGTCTTCTACATTCCTTAGCATAATAAGACTGACACCAGAAAAATGCTAAAAACAAAGATCCCAATTAAAGACCTAAATGTTAGATTGGACACTATAAAACTCTTAGAGGAAAACATAGAACAGTCTTTGACATAAATCACAGCAAAATCTTTTTTAATCCATCTCCCAGATAATGGAAAGTAAAAATAAACAAATGAGACCGACTTAAACTCAAAAGCTTTTGCACAGCAAGAAAAAGTGAAAGTTGTTCAGTCGTGTCTGACTCTTTCCCATGGACTATATAGTCCATCAAATTCTCCAGGCCAGAATACTGGAGTAGGTACACCTTTTCCTGCTTTTCAACCCAGGGATCAAACCCAGGTCTCCCATGTTGCAGGCAGATTCTTTACCAGCTGAGCTATCAGGGAAACAAAACAAAAAGACAACCCACAGATTGGAAGAAAGTACTTGCAAATGGTGTGACTGATAAGAGATTCACTTCAGTTCAGTTCAGTCACTCAGACTTGCGACTCTTTGCGACCCCATGAACCAGAGCACACCAGGTCTCCTTGTCCATCACCAACTCCTGGAGTCCACCCAAACTCATGTCCATTGAGTTGGTGATGCCATCCAACTATCTCATCCTCTGTCGTCCCCTTCTCCTCCTGCCCTCAATCTTCCCAGCATCAAGGTCTTTTCAAATCCGAAATTTACAAACAGCTTCTGACACTTAATAGCATCAAAACAAACATCCCACTCAAAAATGGGCAGAAGACCTGAATAGGCAGTTCTCTAAAGGGGACGTACAGATGGCCAATAGGCACATGAAAAGATGTTCAAAATCACTACTTACTTGAGAAATGCAAATCAAAGCTACAATGAGATATCACCTCACACCAGTTAGAGTGGCTACCATCAAAAAAAATCCACAAACCACAAATACTGGAGAGGATGTGGAGAGAAGGGAACCCTCCTACACTGTTGGTGGGAATGTAAATTGGTACAGTCACTATGGAGAACAGTATGCAGGTTCCTTAAAAACTAGAAACAGAGCCACCATTACCCTGCAATTCCACTCCTGAGCATGTATCCAGAGAAAAGCATGGCCTGAAAAGATACATGCACCCCAATGTTCACTGCACACTGTTTACAATGGCCAAGACATGGAAACAACTTTAATGTCCATCAACAGAGGAATGGGTAAAGAAGACATGGTATACAAATACAATGGAATACCACTCAGCCATTAAAAAGAATGAAATAAGGCCACTTGCAGCAACATGGATGGACTTAAAGAGTGTCATACTAAGTGAGAGTATCATACTAAGTGAAGTAAATCAGACAGACAAGGAGAAATATAACATCCTTTATATGTGGGATCTAAAAAGAAGCAGTACAAATGAACTTATAAAACAGAAAGAGACTCACAGAAAACGAACTGATGGTTGCAATGGTGAAGGGATAGTTAGGGACTTTGAAAAGGTCATGTACACACTGATATATTTAAAATGGATAACCAACAAAAACCTATTGCATAGCACACAGAACTCTGCTCAATGTTATGTGCTAGCCTGGATGGGATGGGGTTTGGGAGAAAATGGATACATGTTAACATATGACTGAGTTCCCTTCACTGTCCACCTGAGACTATCACAACATTGTTAACTGCCTATACCCCAAAACAAAATAGTTTTGGAGTTAAGAAAAATAAAAAGAAAAGAAAAAAAAGAAATATACAAACAACAACAAAAAAAATCCTGTTGTTTAATTTACCAAGTATTTTAACATTCCAAATTTCAATTGACTCCAGAATGTGATATATTATTCTAGGTGCAGAACTGTCATATGAAAATATTTATTTGCATTTTATGAATGGGAAGAGAGGCAGAACACCTCAATACCTAAGAAGGATTTGGCACAAAGTTGAAATGGCCTGACACCTTCTTGTGTATATTGTACCAACCTAGATATAAAAGCTGGAATCCCAAGCAATGTTCAGAACTAATTTGGGTTTTCTTTGCACTAAGTCCTACAAATCCTTGTAGTTCACCTCCTTAGGCCAAAAGTCGTAACATCCTTGACTGTGGATAGTAGCTAGGTCTTTTGGGACTTTGGATTAGGCTTTTTTTTTTTTTTTCCAGTCAGGGAAATAATCTGAAAAGAGAAAGAAATTACATGTAGTCCAGTGCATTTTTCTGTTTGTGTGGTTTCTCCACCAGCTAAAGATATTTAAAGGCTCTGAACCTCTTGCATCTTTTAAGTGTCATTTTATTTTTAGATAACTTTCCTTTTTTTTTAGCTCTACGGCCAGACTGGGGCACCTAGCTGGAAAATCATTTTCCCTTTAAAAAAAAAAAAAAGCTAGAATTTGAATGCAGGCATGGAATTCCAAAATTTACTACAGTGCAATTCTTGGGACATTTACATTTATCGCTGAAAGATAACTGAAAAGGGTCCTTAAATTACCCTTCAAAGACAAGAGGTTCTAGAGACACTTTTCCCGCCTTTTAGACAGCAGAGGATTCATTACCTGTAATCTTCAAGGCTCCAGGACGCACGATGCAATCCCTCAGTGGAACTTTGTGCTAGAAGCTGCAGCTTCAGTGATTTCGGGCAAGACTGGCCCAGGCACTCCGGTCACGTAGAAAGCGGAAGGGAAGAAGTACCTGAGCAAGGTAGGAGCCACTCAGAAGCAGCCTGGGGCCGCCACTCACCTCGAGGAGGAGGAGCTGGCGCCCGGACCCACCCGGGTGGAGGGGACAAGTGAACCCGGGCCCGCCAGGTGAGGGAAGGGACCGCCCGCCCTACTCAACCCCAGAAGAGGCGGGGCGCGGCTCGCGACTACCCGCAGGGGCGGAGCCGGTCGAGCACCTGGGCCGAGGCGGAACCGAGGGGATCCAGTCACCACCAGAAGAACCTGGTACCAAGACTCACCTGTGCGGGGGCCTGAGGCCGGGCCGGGGCCAGAACTCACCTGAGCCGGTGGAAACCTGCCCCGGAGGGCGAGGCACCGCCCCGGGCCGCCGCAGCCGAGCGCCCCTTCGTGGGTCCGCGCGGGGCCATGACCTGGAGCGCCACCGCCCGGGGCGCGCACCAGCCGGACAATACCGCGTTCACGCAGCAGCGCCTCCCCGCCTGGCACCCGCTGCTGTCGGCCAGCATCGCGCTGCCGCTCTTCTTCTGCGCCGGCCTGGCCTTCATCGGCCTGGGCCTGGGCCTCTACTACTCCTCCAACGGCATCAAGGAGCTCGCGTACGACTACACCGGCGACTCGGGCACCGGCAACTGTTCGGTGTGCGCCACGGCCGGCCAGGGCCGCGCGCCGCCGCCCCCCTGCTCGTGCGCCTGGTACTTCTCGCTGCCCGAGCTCTTCCAGGGCCCCGTGTACCTCTACTACGAGCTGACCAACTTCTACCAGAACAACCGGCGCTACGGCGTGTCCCGCGACGACGCGCAGCTGAGCGGGCTGCCGAGCTCGCTGCGCCACCCGGTCAATGAGTGCGCCCCCTACCAGTACAGCGCGGCCGGCCTGCCCATCGCGCCCTGCGGCGCCATCGCCAACAGCCTCTTCAACGACTCCTTCTCGCTGTGGCACCAGCGCCAGCCCAACGGGCCCTACGTCGAGGTGCCGCTCGACCGCACCGGCATCGCCTGGTGGACCGACTACCACGTCAAGTTCCGCAACCCGCCGCTGGTGAACGGCAGCCTGGCGCTGGCCTTCCAGGGCACCGCGCCCCCGCCCAACTGGCACCGGCCGGTCTACGAGCTGAGCCCCGACCCCAACAACACCGGCTTCATCAACCAGGACTTCGTGGTGTGGATGCGCACGGCTGCGCTGCCCACGTTCCGCAAGCTGTACGCGCGCATCCGCCAGGGCAACTACTCGGCCGGGCTGCCGCGGGGTGCCTACCGCGTCAACATCACCTACAACTACCCGGTGCGCGCCTTCAACGGCCACAAACGCCTCATCTTCAGCAGCATCTCATGGATGGGCGGCAAGAATCCGTTCCTGGGCATCGCCTACTTGGTGGTCGGCTCCCTCTGCATCCTCGTGGGCTTTGTCATGCTGGCCGTCTACATTCGCTGCCAGGACCAGAACGACGACGACGAGGACGACGAATGATTCCTGCTTTCAAAGTACCCTTTCTGCTCCTTGCCAAAACTCTTGCAAACTTCTTTAGGCTTCTCCCCCTCGACTGTCACCCAATTCCAACTTCGCCTCACTTTGCCTTCTATTGTGGATGAGGGGACCAGAGAGAGAGAGAAATTAACACCCGATCAGGGGCTTCCAGGCTTTTTTAGGGTGTTTGAACTGCTAGAGCGAGACATTCCTACAAATTTCCCCCATCTCTTTCACGAGTGGACACGTTATGTTCTTTGAGCCAGGAACGGACGCTTGCTTAGACACGCTTATTCAACCCCCATCTAATGAAGAGACAGACCTGTAGATGTTAAAGAACTCGTTCGAGATCTAACAGCTACTTATTGGCTCCTGGTTCTGATTCTGACTCTGAAGCTAGAGCTTTAAGCACTGTGGTACAGTGGTTTTCTTTTCTTGGGGTTAGGGATAAGTGTAGAGAGTGAAGCCCACAAATAACCAGCAGAGGCATGGAGTGGAGGCCAACATACTCTTTTAAAATGTAGATAGATGAGAAGGCCCCATCCCCAGAAATTCTGACACTATAATAAGGCTTTGGTGAGACCCTTGAAGCTGCAGTTTTAACAAACCCATCTGGAGATTCCTCCTGTATTCCCTCAAGTTTGGGAATCAGTGCCCTGAACCAGGGAGCAAGTAGGATGCTGTTTCCCTATTCCCTCATATGTCTGAGGCTAAGTGTGACTCCATCACTGCCCGTCCAGTTTTTCAGGTGGTCATCTTTTCCCAGGGGCAGTGACAAGCATAATGTTCCAAGTTTGGTCTCACTCCTCCTTGAACATAGGAAGCTCTCTGTAAGATGCAGAGTAAGTGAAAACAGCAAGTTGGCATATAGATTTGCAGAACAGGGTTTGTAACAATTCATTTGCTATTTTAGTGCAAGAAATTTAATTTAAAAAAAATTTTTTTTTTTTGCCAGGTACTGTGTAGAAACTTGAAAATGTCAGGTCAGTTTGTACAGTTCAGTGGGAAGGTTTTAACCTTAAAATCAGATAGCTGGAGGGGACCTTAGAGGGAAAATGTTTTTCCTAAAGTCATATTGTGACTCAGTCTTGTCGTCTAAATGATTTTTTATGCTTAGTGATTTTTTTATGCTTATGTTTCTCATACCTTTTCCCTTGTGTCTAAAAAAAAATTAATGTTCTCAAATGAACCATGTTTGTTTTTAATAATATGTTGAAGTGCATGCTAAGAAATTAGTCTTATGTAAATTAGACTCTTTAAAAATTATTTGAACCATTGAGATAATGTTAAACTTTGACTACTCTAAAATCATTCTAATATATTGATATATAAAGTTACTGTAAGAAAATAGAATTTTTAAAAACCCTTTTATGGCAAAAGAACTTAAAAAAGTGAGATCATCTGCACAAGTTTATTTGCTGAAAGCAAACAGTTATTTGGTCTTCTGTCAGACTTCTTAGTGCCTGTTCTCTATTACAGCTACTTTCCAGTTACTACAATTTTTGCTCATACCTATAAAGCAAGGCAATACTTTGAAGTTTTTTTTTTTATTGAGTAGTCACAGAAATATTGAATTGTACTGAATAATTTATATTAATTTTATTTTATTCTTCTGGTTCTTCGAAAAATAATAGACATAGACAGAATGCATGTTCGCTGACATCTGTTGGATCTTCTGGAACAGTTGTGACTTAAGAGATTCTGTCCCAGTATTTACATAAGCCAAAAAATGTTTTATAATCCAAGTATGTTGGCTTCCCAACTCCTGAATATGACACAATTTTACTGTCAGATTGTGTAGTGTGATTTTAGGCTGTGGATATGTGATTACATATATATAGAGTAATTTTTATTTATCATGAATTTTTGATCAAGCGACTGCTTCTTTATAATTTACCACATTTTTTTTTTACTACTTAATTGAGAAGAACCATGTATATTACTATCATTTTTACAATATTCATTGCTATATTTAAGAGTCTACAAAATTAAAGGTATTCTGATTAAATCAATGAATATGGTTCCAGGCCCTCTTCTTTGGGTTTTTGAAAGAGAATAAAGGTTATATTTGTATTGCCTTTGTTATCACATTTGCTTAATCCTTTTGAACTATGATCTTAAAGCCACAGATGTTAAAAAAGTTACCAGCTACCATCCACTTTGCTCATTTGTTATTAGCAGATTTATACTGCAGCAAGAAAATCATCTTTCAGAATAAAGCTCAAATGAACTCAGTCTTTCAGTGTTAACTTCCTAACAGTATTTGAACTTACGTCAATATCAACATGTAGTATGAATCAGACAATCCTTGACTGTTGTTTGAATTTGGTAAAATGTGATCAATTTTTAATAATATTTAGTATTAAAAGTTACTAAGAATGTGACTGCAGCAAACTTCTCCATTTCTGCATTTTACCCAAATTCTAAATTACAATTATTTATTGGGTATTTTGGACTACAAAACTTGAGAAACTTTAAAAACAAAAAATGAAACATTTTCCTGCACTGTAGCATTTTGTTTAGTATCTCTGGATTCTAGTTGGGTTTGAATTCTCATGTTGTCCAGTAAATGCTTCCTAGCTAGAGCTGTGTCATCTGGAATGAGACCGAAAAGTGAACCTCAACAATTGGACTGGAAATGTGCTTTGATCTACTTTGTAAAGTAAACTACAAACAAAAGAGAAACTAATGTGGTTGGCAGGAACTCCCAATACAGAATAATGTAACAAGAAAGACTTCCCAAGAATCTCCAGAATCAAATCAACAATTCAAGGACTAGACAATTGTTTCAAATCAGAGACAGAATAACAGTCTGAGATTTTCCTTAGTAATAAGTACCACTTCACACTATATAACCACAACCCTTTCGGCATCGTGGTGTCTGTGCCCTCTTCTCGTCATTGGGGATCTCAAAAGTCTTGAGTAAATTCTCAGTTATTGGTAGAACTACAATGTAATCAATTCCTTATATGCCCCTGGGTATATCAGTTACTGTGTACAAGTAACCGTAATAATAGTAAATGCCCTCTTCCTTTATTTTCATCAGGCATTTCTTTGCACCCTAGATTTTTTCCCACAGATAAAACATAGCTGACTGATTTAGATGACAAAACTGAATTTTTTTTAACTTCAATTTTTTTCCCCCAGGAGAATTTCTCATAATTTCCGTCCAACAAAAGCAGTCACATAAAGTGTCATTAAGAAAGTCATTCAGTGAATCTGACTGAAATATATTAAGTTCTCAGAGAGATTTTACCCGAGAGTAGTATTTTGGTGTAAAGAATTTGCAAAAATTATGAACATTTGTCGACTCACTGTATACTACCATCCCCCATGGTTTCTTTGATAAGACTAACAACGTGTATTCAGGGAAAAATACTTCCCCACTGGTTTGCCACCTGGCGTTATAACTCTCACTGTTAGTGGTAATGATGTAAATTCGTCCACCACAGCAAGGTGGCATTTCTTTCTTTATGCACTTGGCTGAGCAGCTCAGCATAGCACAAGAAGACCCCAAGGCAGTGAAACCTACCATAGACTGCGGGGTGTGGAGGAAGAGGAGAAAAGAAAGAAAAAAAAGGTGCAGTTTGGAGCATGAAGCAGGGTGTCATGAAGAAGGGGGAGACTTGGCTGTGACTGGAACCCGCTGCAGAGGGCAGAGCTCACAGTGACCTCACTGATGACAAGCCTTGGAGAAATTCAGTAAGTGGATGGTAGCTCACCTCCTTCTGAACCTCTCGGCTTGTCTTTTTGATGAGTTTCCGTGTGATTTATCTTTTTCCTTAGAAGCAAAAGATATTACTGTGAAGAACCTCCTCTCCTTTCTCTCCGCATTGAGTTCTTAATTGAATTCCTATTAAAGTGGCTGAAACCTTACATTACTGATGAAAACTGTAAATGATGTGTCATTAATT